CAGCCCAGTTCTGGGCACTGTTCCTAGAACTGAGCCTCAAGCTTGTTGCTCCAGCCCTTCCAAAGATACTGTGAACCACCCAGGATCCTTTTTAAAAATTCCTTTTCTGCTTAACTAGCCAGAGAGGATTCTGCTTTTTAAAAACTAAGCCCTCACCAGTACACACAACACCATCAGGCAGTGACAGAATCAAATCAAAGATCTCGGTCTCTTTGATTCCCAGGCCAGCATTTTTTCTATGACATCACATTTATTTATATTTAATGCTTTTAGGAAGGTTCAAAATGCTGTTTTCAAAAATGTATGCTGAGGCTCGTATCTCAAAGATATGGTATGGACACTGTCAAAGTGTCTATTTGGTTCAAGATGAGAGTACATGTTTGAGTGCTTTTGGAATTTGTCTTGGTTTTTCCTTCTGTTCATATAGATTCATAGGCTAGTGGCTTCCTTAAAAGATGTTAGTTAGGCTTACAATAAAAACACCAATGTACACAGAGTTGTTCAAAAAAAGATAGAGCAAAACCACATAAAAGGAGAGATAACTGTCTGAGATTAATCAGGATGAGATCATTACAATTTTCTAAGCACTAAATTTATAATCTTCTTCCTTGAAGTAAAGGACAGTAACGGGGTGGATTATATTAATGTTTCCCAACCTTGGTCCACCAACGGTGATGTTTATTTTCCACCTTCATGGCCTCCAAGTTTTTAAAGGGCTTCTTCCAACCTCATTTATTAAAGAATGCTTTCAATGACCTCATCAAGAGTAAATACAGAACTTACTGAAATATCGAAAACAGGACATAGATTCCTACTACTATTTTCGGTGACTATTTCAAACTATTCCAACTATTGGGATAAAGGGTTTTCATTTTCTAGTGTCCGCCATGCACTACAGTGTGCTACAATAAGAACTTTACATACGTCATCAGATTTATTCATCACAACAGCTCTATGCAGTAGGTATTATTACCATCCCCATTTTGTAGGTGAAAACATTGCTCAGCAACTTACTCAAGGCCACCAAGTTGACAAATGGCAGAGCTGAGATTTGGATGCAAGCCTACAAGTCTAAAATTGAATCTGTTTACTACATTATACTACCTCTCTCAGGAAGAATTTTAAGTTTACAAGAACGAAAATTTCCTCGAGGCTGTAAATCTTGGAATTTATTACATCGATGCTCACAGGAAATCTCCTGATCCCACAGTTGATAATGGGGGACTGAGGAAGAATGGTGTAATAATTCACTACATTCACTGAGGCCTGAGACACGGGGTGCTGGAGGTATCTAGGAAAGACTCCAGGGTGAACTGGGCATGTGCCCTGCCCTTGGAAAAGAGGTGAGCACTGAGCACACAGAAAACCAAAATACATGCAGGCTACATGGGGCGGGTGTCACCTCTGATGGAGAGATCAAGGCTCGGGGAGGTGGCCGGAGGGAGGGGCTGGCCACGTCTTCCCTGGCACAGGGCCCTCGCTGCTGCTGTTGCCTAGGGTTCTGAGTCCAGGGCCCCCATCAGGAAGCCTCACCCTGCCCATGTTCCCAACTGCACGAAACACTAGCCCTGCCAAGCCTAGTCCCTGCCTGGCTCCCTGCTGAAACCTGCCCGTCAGGTATCGAGGCTCTGAGAAAGGCTCTCTGCACTTTCTTCGATAACAATCCATGGCTGTCACAGGCCAATCTGACAGACCATGAAAAAAGTGTCCCAGAGAAATAGGTCCAGCCTAGAGGCAGAGCCAGCTAGCCCCACAAGGCAGAAGAGAAACACTCCCTCCCCAAACTGCCCTCTGTTTCCACCTGCCCCTGCATTCCTTCAGGTCAATTTTGAGGCAAATATCTCAGGAAGGCCCACAAGTTAATCCAGTAATCCATTATCAACCATGGTACCTTATGCAGAGATAGTTTATTAGCTCCTGTCCGCAAGGTTTCCCTGAGAAGCGGTGCAAATCTCTGAGAAGAAAGAAAATGCCCGGGGCTTGGACTGCTGCCCAAAGCAGCAAGCTTGAGCTCTGAGGCGCCAGGTACATACTGAGAGGGCCAGGTATGTAAGCAGGGGAGAAAATGAGGGCCACAGAGGTGAAGCCCAGAGGCCTACACTGCAGTCCTGCCTCTGCCTGCCCACTCTACTACTTCGATGCACAAATTTGAAAAGGGAACATTTTACAAGTGTATTCATAAACCTACAGAATGTTTCAGAAGATAGGGTAAAGACAAGGTAGACCCTGGCCCAGGCCCTGGGGACAAGTATGGTGGCCTTTACCAAGACAGGGTCCCCGGCTACAACTTTATGGGAGAAGAAAAAGAGGTCAATTTAGGGAAAGTTATTTGGGGATGCCTTAGGGACATCCAAAGGGGAGATGTCTCGGAGGCATTCGTACTTCCAGATTTATAATTCAGGAAAACGGTCTGAGCATGAGGAACTAAATGGAGAACTCAGCCTTTAGCTGACAGCCAAAGCAGTGGGGGCTGGATAAAATGCAGCCACTCAACAAATATTCACACCCAGGCACTGTGAAAAGTGATAAACTTAAAGCAAAAAACAAGAAAGAGAAGGTCCTTGCCCTCAAAGAGGTTACGTTCTGGTGAGAGGAGCCAGAATATACACTCATACATACGTACAGAAATAAAAGAAAAATATTAGCTAGTAAAAGCTCCAAGCACAGAATTAAATTAGGATGTGGTGTGATAACAACTGACTATGTACTTTCTTTGCCTTTGCCCAGGAAAGAACGTGAAGAGCAAAAAAGAGGGCTGAAGACCATGAACTAGGGACCCACAGATGGCGCAGTGCCCGACACCAAGCATATCACACGGACCAGGACCTCTTGACGCCTCTTCTGCACTCTCATCTGGAGACAGAACCCCCAAGAATAATCCTAGCATCTCATTATTCCGTTCAGGAACTGTGATATGTAGTGAGCCCAGCACGAGGTGCCAGGTTTAGGGCAGTGAACAGGGCTGTCGAGGACCCTGCTCCTCAGAAAGCTCACATTCTAATAGGAGAAGACACACCCAGGCACACACACACTTAAATAAACTTAACTGCAAGTTGTGCTAAGTGCTATGAAAAATATAAACAAGGGGCTAAGAAAAACAGTGAGTGATCTACTTTAGGTAGACTAGAAAGAAATCCCCTAGGAGGAAGCAGCATTTACAATGAGTCCCAGGGTTTGCCGCGAAAAGGATGGTGGTGTGGACGTTCTGAGCAGAGAGAACTGCGTGTGCATAGGCTTGGAGGAGGGAAAGAGCTTGACGTGTTTGAGAAAGCAAGTGACTGACGGTCAGCAAGGCCAGAGGACAGAGCTGGAGGAAAAGAAGTGATGACACTGGAAATAGAGTTGCATCGCTCAAGGCCCTGCCGGCTGCAATAAAACGTTTGGATCTTATTGGAAGCCACTGAAGGGTTTTTCAAACCAGGTACAGCCTGATCTGATTTCTGTCTTAAGGAATTTCTGGCCAGGGGAGGGCCTAAATATTGGGAGCTAGTTCTTTCTGATCATCTTTCTGAGCCTTGAGGTCACCCTGCAATCACACAGTGTGGCCAACCTTTATTCCGCCCACAATTAGGGTCAGGCCGCAGAGCAACTTTTCCTCCTTGGATCTCCTGCCTGGCCTAAGTGCTTCCCCCAAAGCCCCATAAACTTACTAAAGTGTTTCCAATAGACACTGCTAGAGTACTAGGAGAATGGACGCTTTTGTAAAAGAACACAAAATAATAAAACGAAACCACTCCCTCATTTCTGATGGAAATTCGCTTTCCCCTCCACTGCTTTCCATTAGTCCATGGCCTGAGCAATTGTCTCTGCTCTTTACCCTGTCTCCATTTATTTTCCAAGAGGCCATGAACACGTGTACTGCTATGAACAATAACAAAGAACTATAAATTCTTATTGATCCCAGAAGCTCGGGAATTCTAAACAATAAAAATATGTCCTCTGACTGCTGCTCTCAAAAGAATATTTTGGAGGCACAGAAGAGGTTTGTTGAAATAACAAATGAGCTTTGGGGACACTCTGGGCCAAATGGAGGGCTCGGGTCACCAGGTATTGATGCAACAGGCAACTTCAGACACAAAGTTAGAAAGACCTCCCTGCCACCCTCTCCTGGGCTCACGTCTTCATTTCTCAGCCACATCTTGACTGTATCAAGCTGAGTTTCCTATATAGCTTTCAGCCACTATTGTTTTTAGGAGCCAGCATTCTCAGCCTAAAGAGAAAGTCCCCTTTGTCCTCCATCTGTGATTTAATTTACATTCTCCTGAACGCTCCATTCACTTTGTTTTCAGGCTAAGAAGTCTCACAATTGTACCAGACCCTGAATTTGAATTTCCCTGTGTTTCTGCTGTTTGGAAATTTGCCTAGGTCAGTCACTGGACAGTCCTAGAATTCAGCTTAACCTTAGAGAAAATCTTTATTGTTCATGATTTCTTATAATACTTCTAACCTCTGTCATATATTTTCCCCTTGATTTCTACATTTTTGTGTCTTTCAAAATACATACGTGTGTGAGCACACATACACACAGATGCATACATAGCACCTTTCCTCTGATAATTGCCGAAGTTTCCACTATCTTTTCCAACTGGATCGCATTCCTAAGGAGATGTCCCTCCTAGATTCCTCAGATTTCAGAGGGGTGCTCTTAGCTGCACTGTTTTCAGCCTTTCTCATTCAGATGCAGCCTTCCTGGCATTCCCCTGATCCTTCAATGCCCTGCATGATTCACAAGACAATGTGCCCAACTGACTTACTATGCCTTTGCCTCTCTGTTCTCCCCTAGGAACTTCTTTTATATGCAAATGCATAAAATTTACTAGAAATGGGCAAAACTTGACCACAAAGTAATACGAATGTAAAGAAATACCAATTCCTAGTAAAAAACAAAAAAGTAGGTAGGGAATTAATGAAGAAAGAAACACTAGGGAAGAAATTGTTCTTTCTGTTCTTTGGACAATCTTGAGGAGAAAACAGATTACTGCTAGCAGAATATGGCTTACCTGAGTGTATTATAAGCCACCATCTTCGTGTGCATGCAATCAGCAGCTGTAAACACCTGCTTGAGCTCTCTGGATTGTGATTCTTCTTGTTTCGTCTTTTGTAGGGCAAGTTCAATGTTGCTCATAAGAAACTGGAAAGGAGAAGAGAAAGGTATTTAAGATAGGGAGTCCAATCTTCCTGGTGGCCAGCAAAGAGACTTCATACTGTGAACCTTGACTTAGCTGGCTATGTCTTTCCATAGAGACCAACACAGAGAAGACATGACAAGATTTCTTCAGCTATGGCTCTAGGACAAGAAGTGACATTAGTACAGGGCCAGATCTGAGAGAAATGCACTTAAGGGACAGTGGGCCACAGGAATCAGAAAAGAACCACTACTCCGACCTCAGCCTCCTCCCTTTAACCCTTGGACATTGACCCAACGTGTTGGGAGACCCTAATGGAGAGCATGGGGATTCAAAATTAAATAAATGGACCCTCATCTTCCCCAGATCTTTAAGAGTGCGCCCCCAGAACTGTCAGCCACCAGGTGATACACGCACTGCAGTCCCCTTACACTCACTCTCCAGGCAGGCTCCAGTTCCTGTCTCCTACACTGTGATTTGGCTTCTGACTCTGTAAGAATACTTCTTATTCAGTCCACTAAAGCATAAGCTTGTAAATAACTACAGCAAAGAGCTAGAAAAGGGGAAGACTAAATACAAAAAGAAAAACATTGATGGTAACTTAGAATAAAGTTCATCTCTGCCCCGGGAAGGGGGAGGCATTCCCTCCCTTTTTTGCATTTCCTTTAATCTGTTTCCATGATAGGATCTATTAGCTCTTTTGAAAAGACTCCTCGGACTGATATTAATCTTTCTCTGCTTAGAATGTCTTTGTTAAGGGTAGTTTTAAGATAATGCAGTTTTCACTTGGGATGCTGATACTAGATAATGTCCTACACTGCTTTTATCTTTCTGAAAGGAGAATAGCCCTTTATGTCTCATATATATATGAGATATATATGTGTGTGTGTGTATTCATGGTATATATTTTTTATATTAAAGTACAGGTTTGCACTGTGTTTGAAAATGGAGCTCTAGTTACAATAGCTATTGTAAATTGTACACCGACTGAGCTTGCTATGGGGCACACAGAGCTAAGCACTTAAAACATTTTCGCATCCGATCTTCATAGTAACTCTCTGAAATAGGCACTGTTGGTACTCCCATTTTACAGATGTGGAAAACAAAGCTCAGGGAAGATACACGTCTAAGGCCCCTCAGCTTTTAAGGAGTCAGGCTTCCTAGCCAAGCCTGCTGGTCTCCAGGAATCTAACTGCCCTATTATTGAGCATCTCACCTGACTTCAGTGCTTTTGAAGAGCTACCGGCTCTTGGTGTCACGCTAACCCAAGTTCCTAACGCTGCAAATGAAGAGATGGCGTGGCAGCCCCAGAGGGTGCTGCCCAGGCCTGCCCTCAAGAGGGACCACGCAGAGAAGAGCACTGTTAGCGGACAGCGGACAGCCCCCAGCTGCTGCACCTTCGTGATCACTGCAGCGCTGCAGCTTTCAGAGACCCCACGGAGGCCACACTCTCCCCAGACTCTTACCATCCAGTGACTGAGCAGGAAGGAGGCACCAGAGCTGGGCCATTCCTGCCTGACATGGGATTTCTCCGATAGCTAGTTTGCTCCAGTGCTCCCCATTGGCCTGGTGCAGACTTTCTCAGAGCTATGCTGTGTCTGAGGCTCTTCCCACCCCATCCTCCTTCCTTCCCTGTCCTTTCTCAGGGATCAGACCGACATCCCAGTCTCCCCACCTACTCCTGTTCCCTCCCCCTTTATCCTTCATACGCATTTCCCCCAAGACATCTCTCACATGTCCAAGTCTGCCTTGGTATCTGCTTCTCAGAGGACCCAAACTGATCCGGGTAACGTGCTATACACAGTTGACACTGATCTTAGCAACTTACCCCGAGCATTTTACATATAAATGAAACGGAATTGGTACTATATCTATATAAATGGCACATAAATATTATTATTTTCAGGCAGACTTTTTAAATACATCATTTCTAGATAGATTCTTCAATAGTAGGCAATGGTTCTGAAATATACGTGTTTGCACACCGGACTAGTCCACACTTAAAAATCAAGATTTTGTCAACATGTTATTTTTACTGAACGGCACTGCCATAATGGAACTTTTAGTGATAGTACCCACGTGCCATACTATTGCAAATGAAAAAACTCTTGGCGCTCACTGTTGCCAATTTGTCCTTGGAGTCCCATTTAGGCCTCAGGTGGCTCCTGTTATGGGAAGCTGCAATCCCAGCAACTATCAGGTTCCCTTGGGGTTTCTGTTTGTTTAGGTCTTGGCCTTCTCTGCAGGCCTGTGCCAATTAACTGGGACAGCACAGTGTGTGGCACCAGATTGTCTTCCTTTCTGATCATTGCTGAATTTTTTTCTGAAAACATTGTTAACGTCAGCAGAAAACCCAGGAAACTTGATTCAACCTTGGGCCTGCCTCCTGCCTGTGCCTGGCATCCATGATGCTGGGCAGTGGAAAACCCAGCATATAAACAGAGGAGACCAGGCCCTGGCCTCTGTGACGGGACCTGTGGCCAAGTCGTGCAGATCCATTATTCATGCCCACATGTGTGAAAGCACAATGTAAAACTGGTGGCAAGATGAAGAAGAAAAGGCCTGGAGTAAGAAAAACACAGACTGCAGAGTGCTGAGAGGTGAGTCAAGAATTATACCAAGTGAGTTCACCTTATCTGAATTCCTCTCCATGTAGTTTAAGGTATACACATCAGCACTGACCAAAAGAAATAGGTAGCCATTCACGTTCACTTTGGCTCCAACATACAGCTCCTCAGCCTTGATATATTCTGAGAGTTTACTTTTAAAGACTTCTTGTCCAGGCTTCTTAACACGAATTCTTTTTAAGAACATCCCACCAGTATTCCCTATAGAAAAAGAGAAAAAAAGTTAATGAGTAGGTCTTGTTCTTAAAAGAACCATACAGGGCTTCCCTGGTGGCGCAGTGGTTAACAATCCGCCTGCCAATGCAGGGGACACGGGTTCGAGCCCTGGTCTGGGAAGATCCCACATGCCATGGAGCAACTAAGCCCGTGCGCCACAACTACTGAGCCTGCGCTCTAGAGCCCGCGAGCCACAACGACTGAGCCCGTGTGCCACAACTACTGAAGCCCGCACGCCTAGAGCCCGTGCTCTGCAACAAGAGAAGCCACAGCAATGAGAAGCCTGTGCATCACAACGAAGAGTAGCCCCTGCTTGCTGCAACCAGAGAAAACCCCACGTGCAGCAAGGAAGACCCAACGCAGCCAAAAATCAAACAAATTAAATAAATGACTTAAAAAAAAAAAAAGAACAGTACAACTTGCCTTTAGAGTTACTTCATGCTCAAACACAGACCATACAACTTAGCTGTGAACTTGTGAACTCATACTGCGTATGGTACTTAAGGGAAGAATGAGGCAGTGGGTGAAGAAATGAGACTTCCTAGATGAGTGTGTAAAGAAGAAAAGTGGCATGGCATTCCAGCCTTTTCTTTTCTCGCCCCACTCCCTTCCCAGTCCAAACACTTAAATAAACACTTAGCGAGGACTTGCTATATGCCCAGCAGCATCCTGGAAACTGGGACATCAGGACCATCTTTAGAGCCTGCCTGAACAGTACCAGGTAGAAAATTTCTCACCTGAGCTTATCTCCACCTATTTGTCCTTATACTTCTGCTGACATACAGATGAAATGTAAGATGCACTATTTCCGGAAAGGAGCTTACTTAATTATTTGAAGATTAACTACGGGAGTCCCCTGAACTCTTTTTTTCTACAGGCAAAATATCTTTGCTTCTTTTAGCGATGCCTCATTTTTCTTACTTTCCAGAATTCTCACCATTTCCTCTGCTCTTTTCTGGGTATTATTTGGTTTTTGAGCTCTTGGAAAGCAGTGAGCAGAGTTGAATGTGGGACTCCATTACCTTCTAACCGAAAATGAACTGAAATCTTCAAAGCTGAGACCAGATGAGCTTTGGGGATCAGCTTCATCACACTCCTACCACTTGCAGAAACCAGGGGTGGTGGAAAGACATAGCCTTTGCAGCCAAACAGAGCTGGAGTCCCTCCTGGCTCTGTCACTTGCTTGCTGGATGATCTTTAGGAGTCATTTAACCTCTCTGAACCCCTCTGAATTCTCATTGGTAAATGGGAATAATATTTGTGGGGGGCCATGAAAATGTACTTCTCAGATTGCCTGCTGTGGGGAACAAAGTTGACAGAAGGCTCCAACTGCTATGTTCTGAAATCCATCCCCAGATTTGTGCCGAGGTCACGCTTCCCAGAGGCTGCTGCCAACACATGACTGAGCAAGGCAGGGATACTAAGGCAGGCCCATTCCTGCAAGATGGGAGCTCCTCCGACTGGTGACTTTGGCCCCAGGACTCCCAGTCAGCCTTGGCAAAACTTTCTCAGAGTTTCACTGCAGTCACCATTCCCTTTTCACCTTCCCCTTTTTCCCTTTCCTCTGTCCTTCACAGGAGTCAGACGTGCCCTGCAGTCTGACGGCTCTCCTGGCCTCTTCTGGCTCCTGCCACATTTTCTCTCACCAGCATTTCCCCTAATAAATCTCTTGTACATTTAATCTCATCTTGGGGTTTTGCCTCTTGGAGGACCTGAACTAACACAAAACGTAACCTCATAAAGGTCTTCTAAGTATAATAGTAGGTGCTCAATCAGGACTGCTATTATTACCAGCAAGCTTATAGTTGACTGCCGTCACCCTTTCTGTTTTATGAATGCTGCAATTGGTTTGGCCATATCGTCCCCATTCTAGATGTAGAGAGTTGATTTTTTGACCTTCAAGAGCATGACTTTATATTCATCCCTATTTGATTTCATATTCTAAGATTTGATTCATTATTCAAATCACCGTGGACCCTGACTTAGTTATACAAATTATTCATTATTCATTGGTGTGCTGAGTGGCTCATACCAGCTCATAAGGGCTGGTTGTTAAATTTTCAAGGGATTTTGCAAGCCAGTTGTTAAAACTGTTGGTTGCTTGAAATTGGCCATGGTTTGGGTACTTGCCTCATGGAAATTGACAAACAGTACAAAATAGAGCTTTTAAAATTTTTTCAGAGAGCCGGTTAACCAGCACACCATTGATTATTCTTCTCAAACGTGTGTCTTTGGCACAGATAAAAATGTTGAACGTGTTGGGACAAAGAAGAGAGCCCTACAGTTCCATAATTTGTTAAGTCAAAATCAATGGCTCTCTTCAGCAATGGCCACCCTATCAGTCTACTGCAGAGAGGCACTCCGTGGGCCCTGCAGCTGGAACCTTGGCAGCAGCCTCAACAGCCGGAGGGAAATAGACTCTGAAGATTAAATTTGTTAATCTGGGATTCTTGTCCTAGGGCTAGACAAAAATTTCGTACGTGGTACTATCAAGAATACAGAGTTCTTCTTGTCTTGCTAGCTGTGCATGGAACTGGTGGTAGCCAGACCATGATTTTGAAGCCACAGAGGTGCCTCAGAGGCCACGGAGGAAGTAGGGAGAGTGTCCAAAAGGAGATGTCCCAAGTCCCCCAGTCCTGAGCCAACCAAAACTGTTCCTCTTTTATCATTTTATATGTCTGAGTTCGCATTTAAGAGATCTTTGTAAAATGAACGTTAGTGGTTAAAAAAAAAAAAGAAAGCCACTCTCTTAGATCATCTAGGCTATAAAAATCAGACCACAGTCCCTTTCAACATGAAGAGACAGTTAATTATTCTGAGGAAACTGCCACGAGACTTATGTCTCTTACCTGAATTCCTCTCCATAGGTTCAAACACTGAAATTGTGTCATCACCGAGAAAATATGAAATAGCAAACGTCCCTTCCACATCGGCACATTTGTGTGTGATTAGTTTTGCAAAAAAAACGGAGTGTATTGCTTATGTTGCTGTAGCTAAATGGAAGAAAAACGAGGGTTATAGCATTATACAAGTAATCTTCCACATATTATGCGTGCAAAAAAACCTGCAAAAGGTATGCTATGTTTTTTTTATTGAGATGTAATTGACATATAACATTATATTAGCTTCAGGTGTACAACACAATGATCTGATATTTGTATATATTGTGAAATGATCACCACAATAAGTCTAGTTAATACCCGTCACCACACTTAGTCACAAAAATTTTTTTCTTGTCATGATAGCTTTTAAGATCTATTCTCTCAGCAACTTTGAAATACGTACTATAGTATTATTAACTATAGCCATCATGCTATACATTACAACCCCGTGACTTATTTATTTTATAACTGGAAGTTTGTACCTTTGACCCCCTTCACCCATTTCACCCACCTCCCATCCCCCAGGTGCGCTATGGTTTTAAGATAGTAGCATAAACTCTCAGAGGTTGAAAAAGTTCTACCATCTTCTTACTAAGGCTCTAAATCTACATGCAGAGGCATTTTCTCAGTTTATTAAAATATCTCTTACTCTTTTGATGTCCAGGGTAACACATTGGGAAAATGTACCCAAAACAGATGTCATAAACACACTGCTCAAACCATCTGCATTGCATGGTTGTTCCCTACTCACAAGGCTGGTCAACAATCACAATCATGTCAGCAAAAGAAGCACAGCACCTGGGCCTCACTGCCTGAGTAGGCCAGAGGCTGTGCTCTGCTGGTGCCCAGAGCCACCTCCCCATTGCACCGCCCACTTTCTCATGCCCATTCCTCTTCTTTCTTCAAACCCCATATCGTCTCCTCGCTGAGTCACTCTCCCAGTTCCTCAGCAGCCCCCTAACTCCCTTCAAGGGAAAATTTACCTTTTCCCTTTGAAATGCTATATTAAACATGATAGACCTGCCTTTCGTAACACTTATCACCCATATCATAAGTCACCACTACTTACAAGTCTGTTTTCTGAAAGCAAGGACTGCATCTTATTAATCATTGTCTAAGACAACATTTTTTACATTCTAAGTGCTCAAATGTTTGTAGAAAGTTTTTATAAGATCCGTATAGATTGGAATTTGCACTTAGAATTCTGCGCGTGAATAGTCTAGAAGAATGAAGATGGGATCGAGTTCTAGAATCAGAAGTTCCCAAAATTGATTGCCTGGTCTTGGAAGAAATTTATTTATGGTCTGCCAGCAGAAGCATGCCTGTGGATATCAGCTAGTGAAAGGTGGACCTCATGACAAATACTGAACCCTTTGGGAGGTCTCTGATAATCAAAATCATTACCCCAAGGAGGCAGAGAGTAAAATAAACCACGTACTTCATCCCTTCCCTGTCACAACTCTAAGCAGAGAGGTCCTCACTTTCGGTCTCGTATGCTGAAATTCATTCTTTCCTTGTGATCACACTGATTTAAAAACAAACACACAAACAAGAACACTTATTTGTGATTTGCAGAGGCAGAAGGTGCTTTTCTCTGCTCCTTTCTTTGATTGTCCAGGGAAGGAGGGCTGAAAAAGCATGGCGCCATGATTCACAGCTTGAGGCCTCAAGTGAGATGACAAGTAGCAATCTGGAAGGCTACCCCCAGGGCAGCCCTGGCAAAACAGCCAGGTCTCCATAGCTGTTTTCTTAGTCCCTAGTTTCCCAGGTGTCAGGCAGACCTCATACAGCATAGGGGAGGAGGGCAGCTATACCTTCTCAACCATCTTCTCTGGTACATAATTGGATTTAAAAGTAACAAACAGATTTGGTAATCCCCTCTCATGAAAGACCCATACTTTTACAGATGCCTGAAATATCATTCGAACAACTGAATGAGGTCTAATGTCAGGCCAAATGAATACAACTGCAAATTTAGCTTCTTAGAACTTACATGAATGTATAAGAGTGTATGTTAAGTATGGATTTTTCATGTTTAATATGCCCTTTTTTTTTAAACCTAATTCTAGTGTTCTGGACAGCTTATCAATCAGGAATATAATCTACTCAAACAAAATCTTTAGACCAGTCATTCACAAACTTTGCCATGTATGAAAGTCACCTGGGAGCTTGTTAAACATACAGAATCCAGAGTCCTACCCCCAGAGGTATGGATTCAGTAGTTAGCTTGCAGCTCCAGAAACCTGCATTTTTAATAAGCTCCCCAGGAGATTCTGATGAAGTCATCCCCAGAGCACACTTTGAAAAACACTTGCAAGTAGCTTCAGACATTTCCTTGGCTAATAAGCTAATCATCAAACTCTTCTAAACACTCTTTTTTATCACAATATGCCCAGCACTCAAAAAAATTTTAGCATTTTCCCTGCTTCTGATCATACCACCTATACTGCTCAATCTGGCTTCCTGGGCCACTGATAGTCAGGTTCAAATACCTACACATACAGCTATTTGTCATGACTGCCAATGATACACTCTCTCCTCAAGTCACACAAGCCACTTCACTTCGTGCCCCACACTGTGCTTGTTTCTACTTCCAGGCCTTCGCCTGGTGTCATCCCCTCCCCCAGGGTACACCCTCATCCTGTCCTATGCCTGTCCAGAGTCCTGTCCATCCATTTGGGCCCCAATCAGTAGAGCTCTCTTTGACCATGGCTGCCCACCCAGCTGACCACCTATTCACGTCTCCTGCACCGACCGTTATGCGTGGCACCCAATTTAGCACTGTACAGACTTGTATTCTTGACTGGTTTTTTAAAATGTGTTTACTGAATACCGTTGTCTCAAAACAAATGATAAATTCCTAGGTCCAGCCATGTCTTAACTTTTCCTACACACAGCCCAGAGTTATCTATAATCACTGTCTTGACTTCTTCTCCCATTCTCTCTTAAATCCACTTCCATTAGGTTAGCCATGTCTTAACTTTTCCTACACACAGCCCAGAGTTATCTATAATCACTGTCTTGACTTCTTCTCCCATTCTCTCTTAAATCCACTTCCATTAGGTTAGCTCTACCTAAACTACCCTTGTCAAGGTCAACAATGATCTATCTCCACAATGCCAATTCCAATGGTTCATTTTTGCGTCTAACTTGACCAATCAGCAGCAGTTGGTACAAATGATCACTCCTTCTTCCATGACATTCTTGATTCACTTGGCTTCCAGGATCCTGTATTTTCTCTTGGTTTTGCTCCTACCTCTTTGCTTCTTCCTTTTCAGTATCCTTTGCTGGTTCCTCTTCTTTTCCTCAATCTCTTTATTTGGGGATAACAAGGAATAACTTGGTCATCCACTTCTCTGTGTATATTCACTCCTTTGGTGATCTCTTCTAGTCTCAGGCTTTAAATACTACCTACATGCTGATGATTTCCAAAGTTCTATCTCTAGCTCAGACCTCTCTCCCGGAACCCCAGACTCGTATATCCAATGGCCAGCTTAACATCTCTACTTGACATCTGACATCTCAAACTTAACTTGTTCCAAAACTGAACTTCTGCTCTTGCCCCAAACCTACTCTAACTATAGTCTTTCCCATCTCACTACATGGCAACTCCTTCTTTCTAGCTGGAGAAATCTTGGGAGTCATCTGTATCTCCTCTCTTTTTTCACACCTCATATCCAATCTGCCAGGAAATCCTGTTGGCACAACCTTCAAAATATTTCCAGAATCTGCTATATCTCATCATTTTCATGGTACTCGCCCTCATGGAGCCATCATAACTTTTCTCTTGGACTACTGCAGTAGCCTCTTAACTGGTCTTTACTTCCACCATTGCCCTTCTACAGTCTTTGCTCAACACTGCATCTGCAGTCATTCTTTTAATATGTAAATCAGATCAAGTCACTCTTCTTCTGCTCAAATCTCCCAATGAGTCCCCTTATCACTTGAAGTCAAAAGAATCCTGACAGTGGTCTGCAAGGCCCTATGTTATCTGATCGCCCATTACTTCTCTTAATCTGTCTACTCCGCCCATTACTCACCTGTTCTATCCTTGTCAGCCTCCTGCCTGTTCCTTGTGCCTCCCAAGCCTGCTCCTTGCTCAGGGTCTTTACACTGCCTGTTCCTTCTGCCTAGAACATGTTTCCTCTCCTCAGTAAAGTCCATCCAGACCACACCGCTTAAAATTGAAACCAGGGGTGCTCTTCAGGCCCACATTCCAAGTCCCCTTTATTCTTTTCATAGCTACCTTCTTTATTTTTTCCATGGCACTTTAATACCTTCTATATACTACAGAATGTACTTATGTATTACCTTAATTGTTTACTATCTGCCTGCCCAGCTAGAATGTAAGTTCTATGAGGGCAGGGCTTTGTATCTGTTTTGTTCACTGATGTGTCCCAAGATCAGTGCTCGGCACATAGTGGGTACTCAGTAAATATTTGCTGACTAAGAAAATGAATGGCTCACCCAGGGCTACATACCTGCTGAGAACCTTAAAGATAGCTATAGCTATAGTCTTATGGTTAGAAGAGACATGAAGGCTTATTGTTATTGATGGGGAAAACTTGTTTAAAGAGGAAAAGAAATGACTGATGGAGACAGCAGATGAACAGTATCTGAAACAAGTCAGAGATTAAGATTAAACCGTGCATTTTTAGATGCTATATGATTATGAATAGCACAAGTCTGGGATAATAGCCTTCCGGGTAGGAAGTCATCCGTCTCTTCTAACCATCATTAAGAACTAAAAGGGTGAATGTTCATTCTATTTACTCACTTATTCATCATTCGTCCTCTTACGGACAAAATATCTATTGAACCCCAAGTACACAGCCAACGCTGTTCTGACTCTAAGAGAAGCAATAAAGCCAGTCCCTGCCCTCAAGGAGCGCTTGGTCTCGACATAAACAAGTAACTGCCACACACTGTGATAAGTACAGATTCTGGGGCAAGAAAGGCGAACCCTAGGAGTCAGACTTCCCTGTGTTCACATCCTACTTCAACTAAAAATTAGCTGTATGAGCTTGGGCAAATCGTATAGCCTCTCTGAGCCTCAATTTCCTCATGTGAAGAATGGGTACAATAATATTACCGACTTTATGAGGTTGTTTTGAGGATTAAATGAGATCAAGTACTGTAGTTAGCATACCATAACCGTAAACTTCTTTTTGTTAGTAACATTATTATTGCTAGAGGCATGATCAGCAGAGTACTGTGAGCACACAGAGAACAAAGTACCTAATTCAGCCAGGTGCAGTGAGAAAGATATTCTTCTGGTTTTTCCAAGTCAGACTAGACAATCTGCCCAGCAGGCCACCACAGTGAATTTTTACCCAGACAATAATAAAGGTCTTCATTCCATCAAAAACCTCATATGCTTTAACTTGAAACTATCTCCTCCAATGACTCACAGTAAATCACCATTAACCTCATACAACAATAAGCAGCCAGTACATTTTTAATAGCAATATATATGATCAATATATGTCATGTACTATTGCACGTCTCAATTCACGGTTTATTTATTTGCATTAAGAAACTGTTCTTTGTATGCTTTGTGAGATCATCTTCCTTAGGTTCTCACGGTTTTAAAACCTTGGGTTATTCAAACTCATGTATAAGTCTCCAGCTGAATGTGCCAGTTTCTATGGAAACAAGGTCACTGTGTGGGAGGAGCTTGAGGGAAGTGTATTCCTGGCACAGAACAAGCAGTGGACAGAAAGAAAAGAAATTAGACCCATTCGTGCCTGTACCACCATCCTCTGGCCACAACAGCATGACAAGGACGTGGAATGCTGTCTACAGTCAGTGCTCTGTGGGCAAGTTGACATGGTGCAGACAGAAAGAGAGACTAAGGCAACTACCCACAAGGAACTCTTTTCCCCCTGGATTCCAGAAGTAACACACTGGATCGTGTTTCATCCTGTTTACTTTTAAGAAAAATCCTCTCTCCTTTTACAATAGGGACATTCTTTCTGCCCACCTCCTTTGGTGGCTGCCCTTCAAAACAGCAGTTAGTGAAAAGTATCCATCAAAAGTCCAGCCCTCGAACTTCACTGTAAACACTGCTACCTATAAGGGAGGATGGAGTATGAGTTGGTGTCCCTCTTATATGATCGAAATCAGTGGTTCTCAAACCCTGGTGCCCATCACCAGAACCCCCTGGAAGTCTTGTTAAAACACAGTACCAGGCCCCACGCACAGAGATTGGGCCTCGATAGGTCTGGGGTGAAGCACGGGAATTTGTATTTCTAACCAGTGTGGAGGCCACACCTTGAGTAGCATCAACTCTGAAACTTAAAAACAAAACTCCCAAGTCCTTACAAATAAAAGATTATTTCTTAAAAGACAAAGGACATCGTGTCAGGGCAAAGGCAGCCTTTTAGACATTCTACACAATTCGTAACATATTTTCACCACGTTTACAGTTAGAGCAAAACTATTCTCTCCACCTCAAAATATTCTACAACGGTATCTGATGCCATTCAATTTTATCAAATTCAGGGTGCTGTCTTGTTCTTCTCCTCCTCCTGCTCTTACTCCATGTTCCCTTTATCATTTTTCTCCACAGGTTCTCCTGACCCACTATTTCCCTCATGCCAGGACTTCGGTGTTTAGCCCGCATCCTATTCAAGCATCTGCAACATTTCCCCACCACTCTTCCCCCCTGACTTCTTTCTCCAGGGCCTCCATTCTCTGAAGAAGCAAAAAGTAGCCATGGGCAGTGCTCACAGCTATACACATGACTCAGAGGCAGAATTTTCCTCATATATATTAGGAACACTTCTGAAAGTCCACCTTTTGAAATCATATTCCACCACACGAGCAAGCTATGGTTACTGAACTCAACCAAATCTCTCAAATTAAAACCACGTTAGTTGCCAAATAACATGCTAAAAAACACTTACAAATCACTGAAGCCACTACAGCCTATGGGCCAAATACAGCCAGTCACCTGTTTTGGTATGGCCTATGAGCAAAGAATGATTTTTATATTTTTAAATGATTGAAAACAATCGAAAGAATAATATTTTGTGATATGTAAAAATCATATGAAATTCAAATGTCAGTGTCCATAAACAGTTTTATCGGAGTGTAGTTACATATTGTCTGTGGCTGTTTTCATGCTACAATGACAGAGCTCAGTGGTTGTGACAGAGGCCGCATGGTCTGCAAAGCAGAAAATATTTGCTACCTGACCCTTTAAGAAAAAGTTTGCTGACCCCTACTCTATACCATTTCTTAGGGACCATCTTGAGGAGATATATATATGGAAAGGCATACATATACACATATACATGGAAAGGCAATATAGATTGTGGATAATATGGCTTTAGTAGCTTCCAGATGACACATTAAAATAACCACTCAACGTGAGGGTGTGGAGAAAAGGGAACCCCTTGTGCACTGTTGGTGGGGATGTAAATTGGTGCAGTCACTGTGGAGAGCAGTATGGAGGCTCCTCAAAAAACTAAAAAGAGAACTACCATATCATCCAGCAATTTCACTTTTGGATATATATGCAAAGGAAATGAAACCACTGTCCCAAAAAGATATCTGCACCCCCATGTTCAATGCAGTATCCTTTGCAATAGCTAAAAGAGAGAAACAATCTAAGTGTCTACTGACAGATGAATGGATAAATAAAAGCATATATATATATATATATATATGTGTGTGTGTGTGTATACATATATCTATATTTATATAAGATACATACACACAATGAAATATTATTCAGCCATAGAAAAGAAGGAAATCCTGACATCTGCGACGGCATGGATGGACCTTGAGGATATTATGCTAAGTAAAATAAGTCAGACAGAGAAAGACAAATACTGCATGATCTCACTTATATGTAGATTATGTAGAATCTACAAAAACCAAATTCATAGAAACAGAGATCAGACTGGTGATTGCCAGAGGTGTGCGGAGCAGGGGAGAATTGGGTGAAGGTGACCAAAAGGTACTAACTTCCAGCTATAAGATAAATAAGTTCTGGGAACATAACATACAACATGATGACTAGAGTTAGTGCTAATGTATATTTGTAAGTTTCTGAGAGAGTAAATCTTAAAAGTTCTCATCGCAAGAAAAAAAACTATAACTATGTGAGAATGATGAATGTTAACTAATCTTATTGTGATGATCATTTTTCAATACATACATATATCAAATCATTATGTTGCATACCTTAAACTTATACAATGTTATATGTCAATTATTTCTCAAAAAGCTGGAAAAAAATAAAATAACCACTGAAGTAAGAACCTGTTAATACTTACATATTAATCAACTTCGTTAAAAAGGTATAACAACATGTCCCTGGACTTGAAATCAGACAAATTAAGTGTCATCTGTTTTGTCATGAGGACAATATTATAAACCCTGAACACATTTGGGAAAGATCAGACTAAAACAGTGGTTCCCTCAAACACCTGTCATTTTCCATGAAGTTCCTCTGATGAGGTGTGGGCACGAGGCCTCTGCAGGAGCAGAGAGAATCCTCTTCAGAGCCAAAGCCGGTGTAACGTGGAAATTTCCTTTCTATATTTGGAGGAGGTGGGGCCTTGCATGAAATCGAGGTAAAGTTCTCTATAACAAAACAAAGGCAGATGAAACATCAATATTTTTTTTTGCCCTGATTATGGCTGTTTTGAAAGGTTTGTTATGTTTTCAAGATGAACATGGAGATCTTTGTAGACTATTTTAAACTCTTTCAAACAAAACACAGCAAAATCCTGGGAGGGTAGGTTTCAATCGTGTTTACAAAAACCACAAAACTCACTCAATAGTTGCCATTGGTTCAAAAGAAAGAAAAAAAAAGAGAGAGACTGTGTCGAATAAGTAAACATTTATCTTTTGTCATCGCATCCCCATTTCAGAATATTTTTTGTTCTTCCCTGATTTTTCCAATGATAGGAAAATTCAAACTTGGAACTTTATGCCACCCATGCCATATTTTAACCTGTAATGTAGCCCTGTCTTATCTTTAGTCAACAGTCACTAATCAAATTCCTTTCCAAACAGGACTGACTCCTAAGTGTTTTGCTTTACCTTCCCCATCTGATGTCCCCTCCTCTTGTGCCCACTTTTTAAACCCTCTCCCCCTTTCTTCCAACTCAGCTCCAGGCCATGACACTTCACTGTCTAGATCAAAAACAAAAACAAAACTCCTTCTCACCAACCACCACTCCAGGGTGCTTCTGTTATTGCCCAAGTAAAGACTGCAATCGTACTGAAATGTGATGAAGCAAAAATAAATACATAAATAAATAAATAAATAAATAAATAAATAAGGAATAAAACCAAAACCAAACAAACGAACAAAACCTTTAAAACAGCCACTGCCTACTCTCAAAGGGAGTTGTAAGTGGTAAATACTGTTGACTTTCTTTATTTGTTTGTCATCTGTGAAGAAGGAGAGACATATTTATAATAGCCTAGGAGCTGTTGGTACTCATTTGTGAGGCTGTACAATCTCTGAGAAGCAAGTGTGTTCTCCAAAGCAAATAATACATTGACTCAACACATCCCAGTCACCTGAGTTTGTCACACCACAAATGGACAAGAAGATGTCAGGGTCTTTCTTAAAACAAAACAAAACAAAGCAACAAAACAAAACAACCCATGGAATCTAATTTCTACCTCTTCCCCAAGGTTAACTATCCCATAGGCGTTTCCATTAGTCCGTGAAAGGAGGTTCACAATAAGCAAAGATTTCCTTTTCCATTGCCAGAGTTCTAATAGAAGGAAGAGTACAGATTTAGTGCATACCTCTCGCATCAATTTGTCATCCAAGGCAACCTAACTCTTAAAATTGAGGGAGGTTTTTTTTGTACTGATTGATCAAAAGGCTAAGGGTTTGAGGCTGTTTCTAACTCTGATTTGAAAACATTTTCAACTTTCACATTTACTTAGACTTCCTAACAGCCTTTGTGTGAAATCTCTTCAAGCATAATCCCCAAAAGAGTATTGTTCCATCCTAACAGAAACTGCTTACAGAAGACATATTGGCAAAGAGAATGCCATCAAATCTTTCTCACTGACTCAGTGAAAGGGGGCAGCCAGACTGCTGGTACGGAAGTGACTGGTGAGCCTCTCCTATTGCTATTTTTGTGGCAATTAAAGAGAAGCTTTGGTAATAAAGAGGAAAGTTCAAATCTTGGAATTAGGCAGAATTACAGTAGACCCTTTCATTGCTAATTGTTACATGAAACACACCACTCACTAACTGGTACCTTCATTTTAGGAAAAGGACCATAGGGATTGCAGGGAGAGCTCTACATGATTATTAGAAAATTGGGGCATGATTGGTTTCTTCTAACATGGGACATCCGCATAAAACTCTATATACTAATCTACGCAGCCTAACCAAAAGAGGACACATATTGAATCTCACAGTAATTAAGAATGCATTCTACACCTCCCCCCAAAATTACAGGTTTTATAACACAGTGTTGTTTTCTCAACTACATAATTTTTGCCACAGATTTAAGTAACAAAAGAATCAATTTAGAGCTTTCCTCTGCACCCACAGTGCCATCTAGTGTATAAATGCCGAGAACTGTTCCACTCCACCATGTCTGACTTTTTTAACAACCCAGTCTTTTTGGATACCCTGACTGAAGATCTCATTTTTCTGGGTAATTGCATATATTCACAAAGGTTTGAACTCGCACCTGAATAACTTTCTGTCTTTGGTTTTCCATCACCCCAGCATCCTGTATGTTTCAGGTGTTAAAAAAATATTTAATGAAAAAGTATACCTTTTTTTTTACAAAGCATCTTCCCAAATATCTCCTTAAACTGACACTCTGATGGATCCTGAGACACATCTGTCTTTCAAATATTCTGATTCCTCTAATTTCAAAAGACTTGTAAAAACATATATTGAATGTTCATCCACACTGACCAGATTGCAACAAATTTACCGAGAGGTGATAGATTTTTTTAAAGGATATGTCTTAATGCTCCTTCACAGTGATTTACGATTCATCATCTCATTTGGAAACGATTCTGGAAAGAGCCTTCATCGAAGTTCATCTCTGATGTACTAGTAACCCAGATATGGACCCAGGTTTAAAGCTTATATAATTTGGGAGAAGCTCTTTAAGACTAAAAATGTCAAATAATTAAGACAAAATTAGGCCCAGGGCCTTGGAGTGGGGCCCCTGCAAAGAAAGAACCCTAAAGCTTAAGCTTCATTAACTTCAAGGTAAATCCACCTCTGCTTGTACCCAATACCCAGGTCAAATGATTTTGGTGGGACGTTCATTTTTGGGTCAAATAATTAGTGAATCACATAATTTTCTAGCTCTAGCTAGAAAACCCTTAGAAATCATCTAATCCTCAACCCTCTTCACTTCATAGGAGAGGTTAAAAAAAAAAAGGTGAAATTGTTAGCTCTATCAAAGCCACGTGGAGAGACTAGAAGCAAATTCTACCTCTGTCGCTGCACCTTGGGATGGCTAATTTGCTCAAACGATCATTAGACTCTCATCTTGGATGCCTGCTGCTTCTAACACCAAGACTTCAGAGGCGGCCATAAACAACTCCACAAAATTAAAGGTGCTTTAAGTTTTTTGCTTATCCTTAATGTCGGTATAGCCTAATAAGCATTCGAGAACAATGCGAATGAATGGTCTTATTACTAGTTTGGCTGTCCCAACCACTAAGAATCGATAATAAGAAAGTCCTCTTACAGACAAAGAAATAACAACCCAAGGCAGGAATTCTAGGTAAGAACAGTTTACATTCAAATCCCTGTCTCTTCAGTGAAAGAAACACCTGCTAGAGCCCCTGGAGCCTTTTCCAACCTTCAGGCTACGGGAAAGTCCGACAGGCCTCCATCTGCCAGTCCGTGTTCATGCACATGAAATAATGAGGGAGTGACAAGCTCCCGCCCGGCAGACAAGCCAGGGCCAGCGGGATGGCCAAGCTGCCTAGTGGGGGACTCACACTGGACTGTTTTGTGGAAGAAGTTGCCTTCTCTTTAGAATCCTTAAATACACAAAACAATCTCATCTTTTTAGGAGTCAGATTGGGTTTTATGCAGGGGTTACATATATCTCTTGGAATTCTATCAAGCCCTCTGCTTCCACATAATAGAAAGCTTACTCGTGCACAATTCTTGGGACTGTGGCCAACTCCATCTCTTAGTCTGTCTGCCATTTTTTCTCCCCCAAAATATGTTGGGGCGGCATTAGGTAAGAGAAGGTACTGAAGCACCCAGGCTGTATACTGCACCAGAAATTTCCCCCTGGCTTCCTAGGTCCCTAGCTGTGTCGTTGGCAGTTGTCAGCTCCTTCCTGTGGAGACCACAATTACTGACAAGGAAGGAAATGTGACCACAGTTATTGCCAGGACTTTGTCCTGGTTTGGGCTTCAAGGATACCAAAATATAATGTATAAAACTTGGTCAGTCTCATGAATTTTTACAACCAGATGAGTTATAAGAAAATTAAAATGTCAGAAGTAACTGTATCTAAGTAACATTAAGTCTATTAATTTAATGTTACCAAAAGTCAGGAAAAGCAAATGTAAAGATTATCAGAGAATATTGATTCACTCCCCTCCACCCTGAATCATGGATATAATTTCCAGTCATTAGTTACATTAAGTACACTGCTGTTACTCAAGAAATGTTGTGTAATAATAGTGTCTGTTAAATGGGGTATTTTAACATATGTTATGAGAAATATAAAAAGTCAGCACGACTATAAAATGCATCATAATTTTGCATTTGCATAATTTTCTGTTTAAATGCATAATGCTCACGTTATATTAGCTTTAAAGGCACAAATGACTTTTTTAACGTAGTAAGTAAGTCTATAGAGTGAGCAAAAGAAGTGAGCAGAAAGAAATTAAGCACTAGGGCTCAACTGAAATGGACCATAGGGCATTTGAAGCTGATACATTTGCCGAGGATGGCTAGATTTGGAGCGCACCGGTGGATTTACTCTGCCTCTGAAAGTTCCCCGCAAACCCGTTAAAAGACTAACAGGGTCCCGTGTCTCTCCAGCATTAACGTTCATTTTCCCAAACGCGACCTTTATATTCTCAAAATCAAGCTGACAGGCAAACATCAACCGAATGTTGGACTTGCCATTTAAGGGATCATATGATGTTTTGAACCTTTACCACGTCCTTTAAATTAAGGCAATCTTTCAGTAGGACACAGGTAAATGTCTTCAGTGACTCATTTCATATATATATCATTTTTAAAAATTTTCCAAGTCTACACTGAAGACTTGCTGATTCTGAACAGGCACTTACATTTATTAAAAAGCAAACTATCCTTCCCAAATATCTAAGGGTCACTAGCAGCTTCTCTACAGCAGCCACTACCTGCACATTCCTGGCAGCTTCTTGTCCTCAGTCCCTAAAACAAATATGCTCAACTGTGTCCACTAAACAGGACTAATTTTAGAAAATAATATAAGAAGAGGCCACCAATTTGGCTCCATTTTGACTAATCTGGCACGCGGATGCTGTGGAACAAGTTCCCTTAATGCACAGAGGAGGGAAATTGAAATTCTTTTTTATTCCAGCCCCTTTGTATGCTGTGTGCCTTCTCCCATAATATAAAGATTCCCAGGAGGCCAGGAATACGACACAGTGGGGACACCAAGACACGTAAGGTGAGCATCGTCTCATTCTAAAGACAAAGCACCTTGTCTTTTAGGAAGCTGTGGTTGCTTCTGGCTTCCAACTCATCGCTCAGGAAGTGAGCTCACATGAATACTCCAAGGTTCAGAGAGGGGTAAACATCCCCCATCAGAGCTCCAAACCCCAGTCTGGGAGGTTGGCAACTTCCACCACCCCGCTTCGCCAAGCACCGGTAGGTACCTGGAGCCTGGGGTAGAGGGCCCAGGTGGGGGCAGAGCTGGCCAGCAGGTTTAACAAATGGAGGGGCTTGTTTTTCAGGTTTCACCTCAGATCCTCCACCTGCTTCTGTGACTCTTATAACACCGTGTAACATGCAGTAGGTCTCTCCCCCCCTACAAGCCTAGAAACTCCTTACACAACTCTGCAGCTCCTCTGTCTACTGCAATGACCTGCATGTGGTAGGTGCTTAATAAATCACCGGTTTTCATTCTGAACTGCGCTAACCTGATCTGAATGGAATGGATATCTAAGAAGAGAGAAGCTGGAAGCCTGGCTGAGCCTCACCAGGAAAGCTAGAGCAGATTGGCACAATTCCCCAGAGAACTCAAATAAGTATATCCTCTGTGGTAAGCAAGAATTCAGTGAAAAGAAAAGTGTTTGGATTTCCATTTCAGTTGCTTAACCAAAGCATTTCCCCCATACTCTAGTGAGGCAGGGGGCTATATGGGCAAATGGAAGGCCTTTGGCATCAGGCAGACAAGTTCAAGTCTTGGCTCACCCTTTACTTGCTGCATGACCTTCGACAAGTAAGCCCCTTGTACGCCATAGTTTCTTCACCTCTAAAATGGGGATAATGAGCCTACCCTTCTAGAATTGTTGTTAGGAATAAATAAGACAACAGATGCCCAGCAGTTAGCAAATGCTCAATAAACGGTAGCTATTATGAGCTTAGAATTTGAAACTCAAAAGTCAGATCAAGCCTAACTAGGGAACAAAGACTCTAAGTTTTAAATATTATTTTCTAACTGACAGATGTATCACTTACCAATTCCATATTTAGTCTTACAATAAGTCTTCATGAATTCATCACAGTCACAAAGGAGCACTTTCCTTCCCCACACATTGATGGTGGTTCCTATGGACAGGTCACTACCTTTGTAAAACTCTTGGTCTACTTTTCCTAGCTAATTAAAACAAAGGAACGTGACATTGACACCACAGACCCACCAAAGACATTGGCACCCACCCCCAAAGGGAAAAAGAAATTTAAAAAAATCAATTATATCATTCATAACCAAAATGTTTAAATCAAATCAAAAGACAACCGCTCAATATTAACATTTTAAAACAGTCTTTTAGCAATGTAGTGCTACCAAATGGCAGTGCAATGCATATATTTATACATGCACTTAAGCATGTTTATTATTGATAAACAGCAGTGCAAGTCATACATTTATATACTCATCGATTTCATTCACAATCAATCTCCCAGAAGCAGAACACGTAACTCACCCCGCATTCCAGGTTCCAGGGAAGTCACACTGGAAACAGTAATAAAACATGACTTACCTTGTATTTATCCAACAGACAGCCATACACTCGGTTCTCTGACAAGCCACCATCTACATTGAGAACTGTCCGGTCTGTTATCTGGCCTGGTTGATAGACTCCAGGGGGGCCATACTGGAAGATAAAAGTCAAATCAAGACGTAGTGGATGGCCTCTAAACACAAACATGCTCCTTTTGAGGGACTCAGGCGGGAAGAGGCACCGTATGGTTCTTCTCTGCCATCCCGAGGAAGACAGGACACAGACTCCAGCCACCTTTCCCCATGCTTCCCCACCCGCTGAAGGCTGGTCTACACTCTCCCCCTCCTTCAAGGCCCTGATAAAGTCCCATCTTTCCCCCTGACCTCTCCCATCCTACTGGCCTGTCCCCAATTCAAACTTCCGTAGCACCGACCTCAGGGTTAAACCACTTTTTGTTGCTCTCTAATCACTTCATCGGCAGAGTCATCTTTAAACTCCAAAACGCCCTGATGGAGAAACCCTGCCTTGCCTTCTTTACTTGCTTAGCACCCTGCCTGATCCTGAGCAAGGACGCACTCGTTGGCAATGGAGTGCAGTCAGCCTCTAACAGAAACTGTGGCCCGGAGCAAGCCAAGGAGGGCACTCCTCAGTTCCACCCGCACTGGAGGTGGTCCAGGCAGGAAATATCTGAACTAACTTATAGAAATTGATAGTGATCCGTTTATCCCATACACATGAGAAATCTGAATCATGCCAGATCTGTGTGATATAAAATGTTTAAGTTTCAATGTGTGAACTTATGATGTGTGGGGTGTCAGTAAGCCACGTAACAAAGAAAAAACAGTACATTTAGATGCAAACTCTCTCTTCGCTGCTTCCTAGCTACAGGACAGGGGGCCAGGCATTTATCTTCTCAGAACTTCAGTTGTGTCATCTAACCGCAGCAACAGTACTTACTCCTTGCTTTCTCAAAGGATGCTGTGAGTGTCAAGGGAACACCCACTGCTACTGTATCTCTCCTGAGAATGGAAGCTCCACAAAGCAGGATTTTATCCATTTTCTTTCTCACTGTAACCCCAGAGCTGGCACACAGCTGACACTTACTAAGTATTTGTTGAATGAACGAATAAATGAAGCAAGTGATGTCAAGGAACACTGCAAATGTCAGGTATGTCATTATTATTTTATATTTAGCCTATTTTTCAAAGCCATTCTAAAAACAGGCTTCCCTGGCACCTCCTGGCCACCTGCTGTGCATACGCCCAGAGTTCGCTCTGGGACAAATCCTGCCCCCGCCCCAAGAAGCAACACAGCAGGACTTCTGGCAGGAGACTCAGAGAATCTGGAAGAGTCTCCTGTGATAAGCAAATAACCAGTGGTTGTTTGCATCAGAAATGAGCATTACAGTAATCTTTTCAGTAGCACTAAGAGTTAAGTTTCAAAATACTTTATCCAAATAAGAAATAAAATATAACATAGAGCTGTGAATAAGCCTTGATACTTTCACGTGTCCTATAGGTCCTTAGATAATGCTTTTTACTATATTATCTCATTCAGTCTTTACAGTTATCTCAGGAGGGAAGCCTAGTTAACTGCACTTTAGAGATAGGGAAATATGCTCAGAGAGGTTAATGACTTGCCCAAGGTCACATAGCTGTTAAGTGGCAGACTCACAATTCTAACCCAGGTCTTCGGTCTCTGTGCCATTTCTGCTGCACCCAGGTTACATTAGCTCTCAAATGGCCATAAACATGTGTACAAATCACTTGGACAACTCTTTTTTAATAGTAAAAATGCAAAAGCTATCATTGTTGCTAGCCAGTGGCTAGTTGCTGACTGGTGGCTACTCTCAGAAGAGTCACTCTTGTGTGTGTGTGTGTGTGTGTGTGTGTGTACTTGTGTGTGTGTGTGTATTCACAACCCAGACCAATACAATGGGATCTCCTCAGTAGGCTACAGAGGCCAGAGGCCAGTGCCCTGCCCAAGGCCACGAGCAATCCTTTTACTAGAGAGTCATTTACCTTCATAAGACTCGTAGTGAACTCAATGATGAATAGGTAGTTCTCTTGCATTTGACATTTTTCCTTTACTTGCCTCAAGCCCTGAATATTCCAACTCCAATTTGTCATATCCTCTATTACTTTCATAGATGTACATTAATAGAGGGCACAAAGTGTAAGTTTTCTAAACACTTGCACTAATACATGGTGACTTGTCATCACACAGTCATAACACATGACATTCCAGACAGTGAGTGACTAGAGTCTTCAGCCCACAAGCAAACTCGGAAAGCAGTCCATTGCTCACCTTAGGTACCTTTCTCCTCTGGAGGAACAATGACATAGCATCTCTTCCTGAGTTATGTGGCAATACTCCTTTGATTTCGATGGTATCATCAGACAGAAAGTAATGCAGGATGAGTTCTCTATGGTCCCCAAACACTGAGCCTGAGTCGTCCCACAGGCAGAAGAAACGCAAAACCTTCCTATCATACTCAAGGAACTGTTTCAGAGTGTCAAAGGACTCATAGGGACGTAAGGGCTCCATGCAGTCTAGCTTCTGCCAATGGAGAAAAGGTTAATGAGAGTGGAAGTTTTTCCGTAGTTGCTTCTGGGATGCAAGCAATCAAAGAATATAAAGGTATCTTTTCTATAGACTATTCAGTTTCAACTAACAACATACATGATATACATATATAACCAGTTTCAACCTTAGAAATACAGACAATCAAGTATTAGGAAGCCTTTCGTTATTATTTTAACACACTAAAATATACTTCTATAATGTTTTTGAAAACTGACTTTTCTCAAAGACTTAAAATTCTTGTTTAAGAACAGACAAAACTAATATATGGTGACAGAAATTAGAACAGTTATTGCCTCTGAGGAGAGGACTGACTGGAAAGGGGGACAAGGGAACTCTCTGGGGTGATGGAAATATTCTCTATCTTGATTTTCGTGTTGGTTACTAAATTGTATACATTTTTAAAAACTTGTCAACGGGTATGCTTAAGATTTGTACATCCAAGTCTATGTTAATTATATTTCAACCAAAAAATTCTTTTCACTGAAAATTCATATCTGTATATGCTTCTTACTCATCCAAAGATTTTTGTGAAGGTAAAAGAGAAGAAATATATTCACAGTTTTATTTTGCTCAAAAGCTTTAGATAGTGAAGATCTGAAAGGCCATGGAAACAGGAGCAGAGCAAATGGAGAACTTCCCAATCTGTACAGAACTACTGCGCGGGCTCTGGCCCCCAAATCAGGAAGCACTAGCTCGGCAGTCTTCTCAGCCCAACTCCTCTATTTGCAGAGTCTCAGCCCTGTCTTGGAGCAAACCGCTCCCATTCTATCTAATGTAGCCTAATAGGATGGTTATATAAGGAAGTGCTCACTAGCAAGGGAGATGTAGTCCCACATCAGGTTATGTAATCTTACTTGTAAGTTCTCAAAATTTTGTATCTGTCCAGGGCAGTCTAGGTGCAGACTTATCCCAAGATAGTGGGGGAGACATGATGGCCTTTCCAGAGGCTCTTCAGTCTTATCCTTGATATTTAAATGAAATTACAAGATCTCTACTTTCAACGATTGAAAAATCTTTCTTTGGCATTAGAAGGCCTCTAAGAAATGCATTATTGATTATATACCATCAAGGCTCTTTTCAGTTCAAGTTAAATTGTTTAATTTTAACTTTACATTTCAAGGCAGCAAACACTGGAGAAGTAAATGCATTAAAGTCAATATAAAAGCCTCTTACTAAACTCCTAATTTTCCACAGATTTCTATATTTATTGAAGAGCTTTCTCCCTGAGGGAATAAATGCTAAAACGATTCTCCCAATCTGAAAGGAAATTATTTAAAACATTTCTTGGCTGTTCTTGGTATTTATTCCTGATTCCTGGAACAAAAGATTTTTTTCCTTATAAACTTATGAAATAACACAGTGTTCTAAGTATTTCATATAATGCATCATCATTCACAAGCACTATCACATAATACCAGCTGTTAGTGAATGAGTGTAGCCAGAAGAAAAGGGTGGTAAATCATATAGATCCATTTCTTTTAGGTTCTCTCTTCTGGTTCTAAAGACTTTTGTATTTATCTAGACTCCTTCTTCTAGGGCATTTGGAAAAAGTAGAAATGAACCCAAACCATAAATCTCCTTGCACGCCAATACACACAAGTATAATGCCACAGGGATTTCACCTTAGATATTCCAGGATCAACAATATATATTTCTCAGGAGGGTTGTATGCCTACAGCATTAGAGGGTAATTCTGCTGGGGCTAGGAGGCAGGAATAGATGAATGATCCTACATGCGGCTTTTAACAAGAGATCAAAGCAGAATCAAAGGAGATTTTTATTCTAAATTTTATGTTATCTTTCTGCAAAGAAGTTAATTACAAGTTTTAGAAACAATAAAAATGAGACTAATCTATAGGGATAGAAATGAGAACTGTGCTCATCCCTGGGTAGGGAGAAGGATAGATTGGAAAAAGGCATGCGGGAACTTTCTGGGGGGATGGAAATCTATACCATGATTTCGGATGTGGATTACATGGGTGTATGCATTTGTTAAGACCCATCAAGCTGTATACTTAATTTCTGTGTATTTTCCTGTGTATAATCATACTTCAATAAGAAGAGACACAAATGACAATAATGAAAATCAGGATAAGAAGCAAGAGATTTGAGTTCAAGGCCCAGCAAGAAGATTGGTGAGGTATGTGACCTTCCACATGACACTTGCCCTTTTGGGTATTCAGATTTCTCTGTAAAACATAAAATTTGGGCCAGGGGATCATTAAAAAAAACTTTGGAAAGACTACAGTAACACTACTAACACTGATTCTTTCCTCCCTACACTAGCTGGGGTCAGTCTTCGAAAACAAGCATCCTGTCATCATAGGAGTATGTCGAAATCATGGCCTTACTCACTCCTGAACACCTCTGCATCTGATAATACCATAAAGGGAGCTGGGAGTCCCAAGGAAGAAGGAAAAAGGCATACCCAAAGGGTTCAGTAAATCGGTAGCACAGGAGCAAAGATTTTCCCAGAGTTAGGCAACTAAAATGGGAAAAGAAAAGCCAGGTAAGTGTGGACCCAACTCTTTCACTGTCAGTGACCACAAAGCCAATCACGGGCTCTAAGAAACCATCCCATGCGGGCAGCTCGCTGAAGACTCCTACTGCCTGGGAGGGAGAGTCTCCGTGGAGAGAAGTGGGGGCAGGGGCACAAAGTGAGCATCTCCTGCACCGAAGCCAACACCCAGCCTTCCCTCCAGCCCAGAGGAAAACAGGACAACTCCAGTGACCATGGTCCCCAAAGTTCTTTCACATCTGCATCAGGAGTACCAATACCCTTTACTGACTTTGAAGGGATTCTCATCTTGAAGATAAGAGTTCATGGATGAATCAACTTACCTCTCTCCGTGTCTTCAGGTAAGGATCTTCTGGACACTGTCCCGGGGGGTTTAATCTGACTCCTATTTTCTTCAAAAAGTTTTTTGTGAATGTATCACAGTCATAAATCTTGAATGTCCGACCATAAAAGACAATGTCTATGTTGATATTAAAACGATGCACAGAATAAAACCGATCCTCATCAGGAGGCGGCAGAGAAATCCGATGACGCCGGATAAAAATTCCTACGGTGTGAAATAAAACACAATTGTTTCATCGGGTGGCTCACCAGAAAGACATCACAGTACATCTTTATAACAACTCTGAATGCTTTCCCACCACAGTGAAGCGGGCAAAGGGTTGGTTCTTGGAGAAGTAGCATCAGTATGTTCAAACTCTCAGGGTGCCAGAGGGAGCTGAGACTTCTGAGGCCCAGGGTAATTTGACCAGCCTTGCATGTTGTTAGAGTTGCCTAAGTGGTACTAGGGTTTACTCTATTAAAGTAAACCATAAAGACTAGGGCAGGGGGAAGGAGGAGCGGGTATGAACAGAGTGACCTAATGTGCCAGACACTACCATCATGTCTTTTCCCAAAACAAGCATGCTCACTTTCACCCACTAGCACTCAACGTGAGCACAGTACGCAAGGAACTAAGACCCCAAAGCAGAGTACTCACAAAAATGCACACTCTTGGTTGAAAAAAGTAATCTAATGAGCTTCACTGTGGTAGATGCCGACACCATGATTTACAGCTTCTATAAGCATGAATAACTTTATGCTGCTTTGAAGCTTCTTGGAATCTTCTTCCCTCTACCAACCTCTTCTCCCACCTTCTTCCTCTATAGACTCTGTCCACCACCACCCATCCACTCCCCCAAAGTGAGAGTTATCACAGGCTTCATAGTTTTAACCAGTGCTCTGGGCTAAAGGTTCTGGATCCCATCCCCTCTTCTACTTCCAACCCTATGATGCCCATTCACTTCTCCTCTTTAGAATATGGACTCAGGGTTGCCAAGTACACCCAAATGGCAATTAGCCACTGGAGGTAAAAAGGCTCGCTAACTAGATGAAGGTACCAACTACACCACACCATACCAGCCAACTTACCCAAGCACTGCTGAAACCTGTTGTCAAGAAGTGTTTAGGGTTTGAGAGTTTATCCTACTTTCAAGCTAGCAAGTTAGCCTGCCACAATTTCATGGATGCTGGCAGAAGACATGAGATGCTTTGGTTAGAGACAAAGGGCAGTTTATTACTCACAGTAATAACAGTACCCAGAACATCAGCATTTTTGTACCAGTTTCCTGAGCCCCGATTCCCACAGGGTGACACAACAAGGGCCAGGTAACTTCTGCACATGCAGTAGGTTACACATTATAGGACAGAAACCCTGAGATGAGAGAACCTGAATCTATTATAAGGGCAATAAGCATCCCTCCCTTTTGTCTCAGAGGGAGAAATGAACTTTGTTGGACTGGACAGTAAACATGTCTGCCTTTTGTTCTAGAGGGAGACACCACCTCTATGTTCCAAGGCTGTGAGCAAACCTGCACTTTGCTCCAGAAGGAGAGACTATCTTTGTCTTCCAAAGCTGTGTGCTATATAAACATCCTTGAAAAGATAATCCAGAACAAAGAGCAGACAGTGTCTCTGCTTGCAAGATCCACAGAAATGCAAGATACCTGTGGAGAATTGTCTCTCAACCTCTGTAAACTGACTTAAGCCTGAGAATCTACTCCAGGAGCAAAGACAAAAGGAGAAAAGACAAGCAGAGCAAACTGAGGGTCTAATGGTTCAAGAAAAATTGGCTTGTGTGACCTGTGTATGGAGGCATTTTAGTATAAAGATGTCAAGCAATCTTCTTCACATTTTGTATAACACTGAGAATGGTGCCTTTTCCCAAAGTCTAGAAATACTTCGAAATTATTCATTCCTTATTCATTAAGGAATAGTTAATGAATATCTTTATGTGCCAGGAACTGTGTTGAGCTCTGTTCCATTATTCTACTAATCATCTTTTCACTCTGTTGAGGGGAAATTAACTAAAATCCTTTTCATCTTCTTTTCTTTGTAGCAATTTTTAATTACTCGGTACATTAAAGTAAAATAATATAACTATAAAATTAGAACTGGCCTAGAATATTTTAAAATGTACTACATAAAAGATGATATAACTTTACGGCAAAAAATTATACTTCAATTAGCCCTTAATTCATGCCACTGAAAACAGTATGCAAATTATTTAATCATTCAAGATGAGACATTTAGAACAAATTGCATACTAAACACCCATAAAAGCATGGGCATTTCAGGTATTTTTCACGAACCATTATATATCTCGTTAAAAATACTTATATTGGGCTTCCCTGGTGGCGCAGTGGTTGGGGGGTCCACCTGCCGATGCAGGGGACACGGGTTCGTGCCCGGGTCCGGGAGGATCCCACGTGCCGCGGAGCAGCTGGGCCCGTGAGCCATGGCCGCTGAGCCTGCGCGTCCGGAGCCTGTGCTCCGCAACGGGAGAGGCCACAACAGTGAGAGGCCCACATATGGCAAAAAAAATAAAAAATAAAAAAACTTATATTGTGACAGTTTTTAAAATATATGAAATTTATTCAACAGCCAAGAGCTTCTTTAGGAATTCCATCTATCTTGCATTTGTACTTCACTATAAAAATTCAAATAAGCAAATTAGTGCTGATTTCTGTTCAGTAAGACTTCAAATAGAAATCCTATATTTTTCTAGGTGGGAAGAACTGGCCCACCCACTGAGCTTTTAAATAGTAATCATCATCATAGCCCTAGGATATGCTTTCATATATTTTTCTCATTTAATCTTCAATAATCCCACCAGGCAGATAATGCATGAAATACAAATATTCAGTTTATGGATGAGAAAACCAAAGCTCAGGATGGTTAAGTGACGTGCCCAAGGTCATGCACTCACAAATAGCAGAAAAAGATCTCGAACCTGGGGTTTTCAAGCTCTAAGTAAATACCATTACTTTCCACAGTTTGCACTGAACTGTATCTCACTGTATGACAGCCACAAATCACTTAAGTGAAGGAGGGGAGGGAGTGTCTTAGGCAAAACAGGATAGAAATGGGGAGAAGAGCGGCCAGATACCGTGAAACAGAGATGATGGAGCTGCTCTTCCAAAAGAACAGCCTCTCTCTTCTCTAAGAGTAAATTTCTGGAGAGGGCCCACTTGCCAGCGGCAGCAATCCCCCGCCAGGGTCAACACCACTGTCACCTGTCCCCGCCCCCCCCCAGGAGCCTGCATATCTGCAACGTCCACACTCTTCCTTATCTTAGGTCCCACACTCCTCTCACTAGATGGTTCTCAGAAGAGGCCAGGGAAGTTCTTTGTGGTAACAGAAGAGAGTCCTGACCATTCATGGATTGGAAAGAGAAGGCAGGTCTAACACTAAACAAGAAAATTTTAATAACGAGAAATCCAAAGTCACAATCCCATGTTAATCAGAAAAGTAACGTGGGCATTTGAAATGTAGTTACACATGAGAGTTTTCAAAAATACATCTGTGGGACCTCTCAACTGTGCCCTTTGGGAATTAAAATGTCTCTTTATTGGTATTTGTATGCTTATAGTTTTCCATGATAAGTGGCAGAAACTCTACCAGCAGAAGTTTGTTCTGGAATATCAAAGAAATATGCAGGATGCCATGTCTCTGGCACACATTGAAGAGCACCCAAGACCATCAAGATATATAAATAAAAATAACATTACAAAATGGAGAAACAATAACAAGAGCACTATATCTGCCCTTGAAATGTTCAGATATTTATCTTCTTAATTGGTCCATAAAGACAATTTGGGCAGATGTCCAGGCATCAGGTGTCTGCTTTTAAGCTCTTCTTTATCTTCATATTTCTCATCTCTCTTTCTTTTTAAAGGCCCTGTTATCTGATTATACTCTGCAAGCTTTAACTTTCTAACACTCCCCTGTGGTTTAGATCAAAATGATGATATATCCATTTATGTTTAATGCGTTTTCATTTCATTCAGTTCGGAATTGCTTTAGATCTTTGCTCATACCACTAAATTTAGTTTTTAGGAATTCACCTTCAAGAATTAAGACTCCAACCTCTTACTTCTATCTTAAGTATGTTTAGTTCATTTTAGTAACACTGCAGACCTAGGGTACATCCAAGTCTAGAGGCAGGTATTTCTTAGGTGAATGAATATACGAGTGGAATTGCCACTTGTCATCATGTGTATCCTAAAAATACTAAGACCATTCACTGTGATCAGCCATGATAGAGTATCTTTTCCTCTTATGCTCACTATAATTCCTTCACTAAAATTACTATTCCATTTCTATTTTTATAAAATGTCATCTTTGTGGAGTTTGATTTAATGAGAATAACTTTTTAAATATAGCTAACTTGACACTTGCCTTGCAGCAAAAGAATAAAAATTTTTGAATTCCATATCTCTGATCACAGTAAGAAACAATAATCCTATGCATCTCCCCCTACCCACTGAATGAGTCCCAAATGACAGCCTGTTGGGTATTCTGTCCTCTTGCTCTTGCACTACCACCTTCTTGCCTAGTTTTCCTTATACACTCTATGATCTGCTCCCAGTACCTCCCAACTCCTCGCCTCACCACTTTCCTACCTCTTTACCTCATGCTGTTCCTTTTGACTAATGTGCCTACCTCTTCCAACTTTATCTGGAGGAACTTTTGAGGTACCACTCAAATGCCTTATTCTCTAATGGATACTGGCATTTCTTCCTCTGATCCCTCAAAGTACCTCATAGCATTCATGATGACTACACTGTGTTATGGACATTGTCTGTCATATTCCTTTCCTTTTTTCCTCCCTCCCTCCCTCCTTCTTCCTTTCTTCATCAAATTTACTGAGCAGCCATCATGCACCAAGCACCTATCTTCACAGTGACTTACCTCCACTCCTATACTCCACTCTGCTCCATTCAGCGACAGTTCTCTCCGCAAAGTCCACCCTCTGGGGTTGCCAGATTTACCGAACTGAAAAGCGAGATGCCTGGTTAAATTTGAATTCCAGATAAACAATGAATAATTTTTAGTATAAGTATGTCCCGTGTCATATTTGGGGCACAGTTATACTAAGAACTTCAAATTTAACCAGGTATCCTGTATTTTATCTGGTAACTCTACTACCATCCCACAATTCCACTTTATGGGATGCATACTTATTAGATATAGCATATGCCCAATATAAATAAATGACTTCTATTT